CCCTCTTTCTTTTGGAGCTCTTGTTCACTGACAAAAGATAACTTTATTCTTTCTAGATATTGCAGATGTTAAAAAAAAACGTTTAAAGTTACTTACGGTTTTCCCCCAGGAATCCCTGCTAGATTTGGAGGGATTCCAGGTACTCTCATGTGAGGAGGAGGATCAAAACCAACCTGACAATGAAAAATGAATTAATCTTACGCTTGGCAATTTCTCATTCAGTAGGTCCTTTTCCTTCACCCCCAAGATATTATGCATTTAATCAAAATGTAGCTTCTACCCACAGTATTACATAAGGGCACGCCCCTTCACAGGAGGGGAAAACCAAGACTTTTCCCTAGGCATGCTTCTGCTAGAAGTATTCATATGATAACAGAATCCAAATAACGAATATCATGCGTTTGGCACCACTGAGTAGAGCACAAATGGTAGCACAGGCTAGCCCTGGAACTAGAGTTTGTGGCATGTCAGCGTGTAGCCACTCCAGCACACTAGTTCTGTGACAGCTTGTGCATACCCACACAGGCACAGAGCAGTGCTGGAAAGCAGCTTCAGACCCCAGCTAGAACCTCTGCATGGCTCCACACTGCACTGTGGGGGCACATCAGCTGAGAGACCTCAGCTGAGAGACATGGAGCTACAGTGCAGGCCGCAGATGAATTTGTCTTTTTTTTAAAAAAAAAAAATTACAAACTGCAATTCCACTGAATTTTTATATCCTGAATAACTATGTACAGAAATAATCCAAACAGAAATGCTGAATCAGATTTTTTTTTCTTCTGAACACTGTGCCTTCTTAATGCTTTACGTAGTGCATATACTATTTAGAATTTCCACATTTGCATGTAAAAGCCCTGTTTACTGGTTTGAAAAAAGTAGCCAAACTTAGAAGAACAAGAAGATAACAAGCTTAAGTCCAATCTTGCAATTTTATAAGAAGGCAACTTTGTCTATGCACAAAGCTGCCATCAAACTCACCTCTGCAGAATCAGGCCCCTAGGTTATTCCACTTGACAGCAGCTATGACTACTGATGTACCATTTACTTATTACACTCACAACAGTAACTACTCTTTACACTCCTTACCACAGAGCTCCAAGATACACATCAACCGATTAATGTTGTTTTCCACATAAAACAAATCACAAGCACAATGAGATATATATAAAAACACTGCTACATGCTTCAAATTAATTTCATACATCTGTACAGAACACAAATCTGGTTCAGCATTAGAAAAGCTGAAGTCCACAGCACCAACGAAATACTTTGTGGCTACCAAAACTACCTTTTCATTTAGAGCATTAAGTATTTTTTGGCATTTGTTTATCGGTCAAAGCATTGATGAAGACGAAAACAAAAGGAAACATAGATAGAGACATCCACATTCTTTGTATTCAAGGTGCAAACTTGTTTTCTCAGCCATGCAGCTAGGTGAAACACACAGCAAAGCTGTGAAGCTTCTGGCATTGTTGTAACTTCGGAATTCAACAGGGCTAAATGAAGCAAGTAGCTCTTTTCAGTGAGCCGCAACTCACACAACTGAGATTGCATGCAACGTATGGCCTACCATAGGAGATCTTCCATAGGCAACCACAGCAGCTGCAGCAGCAGCAGCACTCATCTGGGGTGACATATTGTGCAGACTGGCATAGGCTGCCCCTGGACTGGTTAACTCTCCATTCATGCCAGCATGAGGTACCATTCCAAAGGGAGCAGGGTATGGTCCTGGTACTGCTAATGGTGTCCGCAAACCTGCAGCTACAGAATAATAAAATCAAGTAGTTTTATTTATACATTCCTGTATACAGGAAAGAAAGCTGCAAAGAATACCTAACCTTCCCCTCTCACATACACACATTGCCAAGAAACATTGCCATAATTTACCAGTACTGCCATCTCTTTTTGCTCAGTGTAAATAAGATCAACTCAAGTCTGAACTTGCTGGTTACTTCTAACAATCTCTTCCAGTGTTACCTATTTCCATTTCTGTAATATTTCCCTGTTTACATTAATCTCTCCTTTGCCAAATTAAGCAGTAAAGCTGACAGACATGATTTACCCAGCTCATGTCTTAAAGCAACTCTACTGTAACAGCCTGCATCGCAAAAGCAAACTTCCCCTGCATTTGTCAAGATTTACACTGCAGAAGATATTAGTAGACTCAGACAAAGAGCTGGAGAAGAGATGGCATTCAGAATAAGTCCTAAAAACTTCTGAAAAGTCTTTTTGTATTGCATCCAGTCTCTAGACTATTTGCAAAAACATCAAGACAAAAGTAAACAAGAGAGCTAAGAGACACAGATATTCAAATTCTTGATAAACCAAACATCTGCTTCTCATCAAGCCCTCTCTTGATATCAAGAGCAAAGCAATACACTTAAGTGAACATTCACACAGAACCTATGTAAAAAAAAACAGATAAATTTTGGAACCATAAAAACAAGTGAGGTAATGCATTACCAGCTTGGTTAACCAGAGGGTCCATTGTTGGAGGCTTGCCAAGGCCTGGACGAAGTCCTGGAGTTGCACTAGTGCCTGGGGTTGGCACATCACTTCGAGGAGTTGGTGTACTGGATTTCAGAACAGGCGTGCTGGCTTTTTCATGCTGCTATCATTAAACAAATTAAATGAGTATTATTTTTAATCCAGGCCATATTATACAATTTATCACAACAGCAGCTGGGATGCTCGGCACCTACTACCTAGTGCCTCAGCCAATTTTCATAAATCCATGCAATGCTGACAAAATTAACTTCTGAGAAAGAAATGCTGACCTTTTTCATTGCTGCCAAAATTAAAATAAGGAAAGAAACATACAAGGTTATTCTTCCTTCTTCCATTGGCATGAAACAAAAAAATGCCCCAGCTATTTTTTTGTTCAGGACAATACAGTATACATCACCACGTTATTTTAGCTTGAAATTATTAGTCTCTCAAATATTGTTTGACACAGTAAATCTAAGTACAAAACCAAAGTAACACCATAGTTGATAGTACCCAAAAAAGTGACACAAAAGCTACAGAGAATCTGGTTAAATTATTAGTGATACAGCAAGAAAATCTTTTTGAAGAGTAACAGCGTATTTAGAGGACTTTAACAAAAGCCTGGAGACCTTCTTAGTGACTATATACAGACTATGTTAAACCATAAGCTATTGCTCAAGAAAAAATAAAAAATGTTTAAATACTTTGTAATAAACTTGAAACTCATTTGACAGAGATGTAGGAAATACAAGAAATCAAAATGTAGCAGAAGATATTGCTGAAGAGGGAAGCTGAATAATACGATACAGGCCTGGAAATACAGTAGTCTATTTCAGCTTCAAATGTTTAAAAGCCATGCATGTACTTTCTGCCAGAAGTAGTTGCAGGACAAGGAAGAGTTAGACTTACAAGATATAATAACATTTATCTGGACAACAGACTACTACCCACCAGACTAATTTCTTTGGATTTGAGGGAAGTAGAACTTCCTGAAGAGGCCGTAGATGCTGGACTGCTAGAGGCATCTTTCTTCATCAGTCGGGTTTTATCTATACCATTTTCACGTGGTGAATGAGAGGGACTTGCCCTTGGGGAAGAAGGATCCTGTAACAATGGAGAGGGAAGAAGAGCACAGGACAGTTCCATGGGTTGGTACACAAACACCACTAAGGAGTCTATGGAAGAAAAAAACAAACAACTAACCTAGAATTGAAGCAGTAAGTTCAAATGACAAGACATTTTGTCATCTCTACAAAAGAAAAGCTGAAATCCTTTCATCAATTTAGACAAATAAGTAAGTTCATATAGTAAGCAATTTGGTTTTATTTTACACTACATGTTTCCAAGCACGGAGCTTGCAATCTAAGTATAAAACTAAGGCAAACATGCATGACATGTTAAGAGCACGAAAGACCAACAGTAACTGCGCTAAGTTTATCCTGTTTTTTCCATGTGCTTTCTTTACGCACTGCTAGTGACAACAAATATTTCAAGAATCTCTTAGGCCATACACCTTGCTCATCTTTGTCTTCAGAAGAGATAAAGACGCATGCTTTATATGCCATAGTATCTGTCACTTCTTTCTCAATACCATCTGCAATTGCCCCACCACTTAAATCTACAGGAAAAACTGAAATCACTTCTCAGGTGATTATCCTTCTCTCTTCCAGACGCATTCTCTGCATTTACTTTAACCTGAAATAACTAGCTCAGCAAGCTACAAAGCTATCAGAGCTCTGCAAGTTCCCCATGCTCCTTCGGCTCAAGAGAATACCATCAGGGTGGAAACAGTACTTCCAAGAGGGGAGTAAGTCTACTGATTGATTATTGAGCAGTTTCAGTGTAAGCAGGGCTTCTGAGAAGATTACTAAAATCCCTAATTGGATATCTATTTTTATATTTGGCTGGCACCATTTGGGCACTTGGAGCTGCTGAAGACAATTCTGTCAGCTTCTCTCCCTGTGCTTTCTACAGAGCAGAGGAACCTTGCACCATATTCAGGCTTTCTAAGTCTCTCTGTTGTATGAAATAAAACTTGAAGAAAGGGGAAGGCCCATCCCTTCACCTTGATGCCACTGCTGAATCTCTGCCCTGGAGAAGAAAAAAGGTGGCTATAAACTCTGGAAAATTTTGTGAACTGACTTCATTATGACTTCAGCTGACTTCATGCTAAAACCCAAACATTTCTGGAAAATGCCATCTTTCACATAAGATCTTAAAACACTAGTAGCTTTTAAGGTACCAAAAATGTTTTTAATAATAGTCCTACTATAACATACAAGGTTATGTAATGTCTTCATTTTTCATTTGAAGACAGTAGTTTGAACCCTCCACCTGCATCTCACCACAAGTCTGTCCATTGAAAAGCAGCTGTGAAGCACCAGAACATAACTGTGGAGGGAACACACCTGGACACAGCAGCAGAAGGAAGAGCCAAGAGAGCAACCAGACAAAGTGCAGAGAAAGACATAAGAACTGCAGTACTAACAAAAAGGAGAATTTGTGAATATTTTAACATATCCACACAGAGGATTCTTTTTCTTCTAACATCTAAATGCACTTTTCCTTTATCCTTTGAGCAAATGTCAAGACTACAAAAATGAAAAAAGTTACCTCATTGGATACATCTACAACCAAGTTATCGTCACTCTTGTCCCCATCACTGTCCTATTAAAGATAAATAAATATAGTGTTCATTTCAATTAGTACATTAAGAGCCCAGAAAGAAAGACTACATAACTACTCAGACATTTTTTGTTTTTCCTTAACAAAAAACAAACAGCCCTTTATTAGTTTATTAGCAGCAGGGAAAACAATGAAAACAGGAACACAGTACCTTATTTCTGCTTCAGTAATAAAACCCAAATAAGATAGAACTAGTTGAAAGGTGGTGGTCTCATCATCAGAACAAGATAGTCCAGAACTGCTCCTAATTACCATGATAAACGGTGTTACCACTACTCATTCTGTTCATATGCTAATCTTAAATGTTAATCTTATGGAAACTACTGCTTGTGTATACCTAAAACCCCAACAGGTCTGAGAAAACTTAAGCTTTTTGGCATTTTTTTTTAAGTATTAACTTTCTCAAAATTATAGGACAACTTTTTCTTTCTGGAAAAAGAGAAAGTTTTGAAATGCAAGGTTCTGGAGAAGAAAAAGCTTCAGAAAAGCAAAACCATTTCAACATTTCGGCCTAACAAAACCAAAATACCTTGACATTCCTAAACATAAATGTTTTACTGTGCCTCATCAAGATGCATTTTAACTTTCACATAAGTCTGTGTTCACCTGAGCTGCTCTAGTGCCTCGTGATAGCTGTTACTCAAATGTCTCTTGGTCCCTATCCCCAAAATAGGCTAGGATGCCCCAGTAAACACATTCTATGATACACAGTGGCCTCACGATTTCCACAGTGCACGATGCTGGTCCAAGCAAAAGGTGACTTTTAGCCCAAAACCAAACAAACCAAAGAAATCAAGCGAATGACAAAACAAAATATTCATGTGAGCAAGTCTGACATTTCCAGTAACAATAATTTTAGTTTAAAAGTTTCTAGGCAAACAAGTCAGACATACAAGACACAAACTGTTCCACATCTCTTGCTTTCAAAGGGTCTGGGCTATCAGACTTAAGCAGGCAAGCAAAAAGTAAAACACCAGTTCCTCTCGCTTCTGACCATAAATGTTAAAAAAAAAAAAAAATCCCTCTCCCCCCCTGAAAAAACAACATAACAAAACCCAGGTAGTTTCAGCCCCTTCCTTCTGCTTTAGCAGCCGAATATTGCTTCAGGAAATACCTCAAACATATTAGGGACCAAAGAGTATCACTGAAGACAGAACTGTGGCTCTATTTGCCACTTGGAAGCTGTCCGAAGAGTGCAAAAGAAGGAACAGGGAAGTTTCAGCCCTGGTTGTCTGTCAACACGAATTCAGGTGTATGAAGCACTCAGAAGGCAAGGACAGGTTACAACACATTTAAGCGTGTGGGAGCACAGTAAGTGGGACATTTGTTCACCAGAAATACTGTCTCTAAGGAGGGCAAAAAATCGCTGCCAAACTATTATCAAGTGCACTTCACTGACTGTCATATTGATAAACAGAAGTTTACTGGGACAAAGGCATCTCCTATTGGTACTATTAATATCCAAAGATACTCCTCACTAACAAATGGACAGGTTGAAAACATACAGATCCTAACAAGAAAATTAGACAGAAGTCAAAATGAGGGAGAAAAGAGCAAAAAACCACACCAAAAAACTGCATTTTGCACTCTTTCCAAAAGCAAGAACTCCTACTACTCATTTATCTCTTTTTCAGAAAAGCAGTACTTCCTCATCCCTAAAGGACCTAATCTAAATACAATGAGCTTCATATCAGCAGCTCTGTGTCTGCAGAATCAGGAAATCTTTAAAAAGAGAGACCTTCTTCCAAATTACACTAAATCTGGAACTTTCAAATATCCTTGTTCTGCTCAATTCTTTATTTTGATGTTGCCTTTATCTGTAATATGTATTTCAGAGACAAACAGAATTACACGTTTAAAAGGCAGATTAAAACAAACTGATTCTACAGTGCAATAATATGTTTTCCAATTTTTTTCCAGTAGAAATAAAATAAAACCAAGCAAGTTAACATTTTTCTTCCTTTTTTTAAAAAGTAAAATTTAGTTTAAGAATGCTTAATCTTAAAATGTTTTAAATTAAAAATACCCACAGAATGATACACTTAAATCTGAGGGAATAACATGGCAAAGATTGCCAAGCTGTTCAATAATCCAAACAAAATTATTGGAAAGTGGTGGGAATACCATTTGCAAAACTAACAGTACTACCCTACAACA